GGTAAACACGACGTTTCCATTGAATTCCACATTGCTTGCTTTTTTTAAATGTATCCTTATTCAGGCAGGATGACAGTCTTGACAGACGCCACAAGGGCCCTTAGGTTACGGAGTAGACGTGAATTTTAAGAAAGGCCAGGCATATTTCCACATCACATTACATGATAGTATTGCCAATGAAGCAAAGTTATATTTGCTATATATCATATATCATCTTTCCTGCTAATCTCGAAAGCCTACTCGAAACGAAAAATAAGTAATGTTCTTGATTTCGATACCGAATATAAGCTTGAATCATCTAAAATCCACCACAATGTGATATGGGAGAATGCCTAGCCTTCCTTGGTATCTGACCTATGGCTTAATGTCTGTCGTGGCAATTTTGCGTAGTGGTTAATTTATATATATTATATATTATATATATATTATATTCCGTACTCTCATGGTTCCAGTCTCGCGAAGAGTGCTTTAAGGTCTTGGCGAGGCTGAAACTGCAGTGCACATTGGATAAGAATAACTTTTGGAAAATCAAGGCTATGTCGAATTTAATAGTAACCTAGTCTTTTTTCGTAACATGAGAAAATTCAACTACCAGTCTCCCTATATCTTTAAACTACATAGCATGAATACACCTTAATATATATCTATTGGTAGTCCAGAAAACTTACTTTTGAGAGAAAAATAACTACATACTTTTTGTACAATATTAGTCTCTATCAATGCTCTATCTAAATTTACAATTTAAGCCTTTATTTTAAACTATCAGTTATCCACCTATCATGTCCTAAATCCACAAGTGATCAATCTTCTGAAGAGTAAATAGATTTCTTTGAGATATTTATATGCTTGTAAATGGGCAACTTTGAAAGCACTGTATGCATGCATTTTGATTAACCTATTGATTTTAGTGTGAAGATTTTACACTTAGCCTATCGAATGGAGATTCTCTTTACCTTTTATGGCCGCTTAAAGCAACATTTTAGTTTGCTTACTCTTCTTAATGCAAGAATTTTGATCGATTGGTATACTTAAGGAAAAAATTAAATCGTCCAGCCATTCAAGTATGATTAATAATCAGGATCTTCATTTGACACTTAATTTTCTCAACTAAGAGATATAATGAATTTTTCTAGTTGTATTCCTTTAACATTTTTCTAGTTAGCTTTTCTTAGAAATTACATTTTTTATTTAATATAACTTTTGTATATGACTGGACTTTTTACGGGTGATCTTAATAGTCACTAGTACTATTTTAATTGTAACAGTTCGCGAAAATTCTTTTAGAACCATCTATAGCTACAAGCTTAGAGCTCAAAACGATTTATCTACAATTATTTTTCTTTTTTTATTGACTGACTCGTAATGCATAAAAAGGGAATTCCATTACATCCTATTGAAGACAATAATAGAGTGTTGCTAAAGAAACACACCATTTTTTAAAAAGCAATTATAAAAGTGGCGACAACTAATTTTTGCCTTCTTTCCTTCAGCTCTTCGGCTTTGTCTTTATCGGAAGCCATTCGAAGTGACGCTTCCCAGTGTCTGATTGAGTTTCTCCGTCATATCTCAAGTTATCACAATCGCTGCCAACAAACCAGCCAACCTGCAGCCCCTGTATTTAGTCCTGGCGGAACGTTTTCCAATCAGACAAGTTCAAGTAGCAGCGAAAAAGCTATTGCAACCGCCCGCTTGCTAGCTATAATGGCGAATACACAATCTTCTGGGCCTTCCACTTCTTCGCTCTCAACCGTTCATAGCCTTTCTGCTACTGGGAGTGCTACTTCTGGCACAACTGGTGGCTCACCTATGAGCTCAACAGTAATTTTTATCTCCTTGCTCATGCTCAAAAAATTTCCAAATTTTATTTGTATAGGCTCCAAGTCTGTAAAAGATGTCTATATTTACCTTTTATATAATTACCTCTAAGAGTGCCATTACATCTGATGTAATTCTATTACAATTTTCTATCAATGCGCCAATGTATTTGATCGCTATGGATCAAATCGCTGAGTGATTCTATTGATAGCCGAATTCCGAATTTTTTATTCAGGCATTTGACTGAAAGGTTGAGATTGACATGAATAAATCTTACTCTATTCGTGTGAGAGTAGGGTTTCGATAGTAGATAGCCTATCTGCAAACCTGGTTGAATTTACTAGGACCTACTTTTATTTTATATTTGTATGCGAGACCCATTTTATATAGATGTTAATTAACATTTTTAGTAACTCGCCTTTTAGTAACAATTCTTTATGCCGTTGCGAATATTCCCAATTTTATATATGGAATTCCATTTATTAAACTAATAAGTTAGAGCACTTTTCTTGGTTTACTACTGTGTGCTCGAAGCATCTGCCTTCCATGTTGGAATCAGTAGATATTCTTCTGAAGATTTATTTCATTATGATTATTTTAAGGTCTTTAAATACTCCTTTATAGTCGAACAGCTTTTAAATTCCTAAAATAGCGCCACTACGCTATTGAATTTTACATAGATTTGTCTCCCAAAAACGTATCTTACCAAGGATGGACCGCTTTATCGACCTCGCATAGGTCTTATCGACAACCCGAGAAATATTCGATACCAGGTCGTGAGTATCATCTTCTATTTGTCCCTACACTATGTGATAACGGGTACCAGTGAGTCGTACGGCAGGCGCGATATTCAAGGCAGGCCAGGCCTCTCCAAACTATTGTTGAATAATTATTAATATACTTAGTTTTCCAGTGTCATCCTAGCTCATTTACGAGGTTGACGTTGCAGTTCATCCTGGATCATATAAGCTTTGCTCAGGGAGGACTAGTTGAAATGGCATTCTGATGGCTACTGATCTAATTGTGAGAAAAACTCATTTTCATTCCTTAAATCACGTTAGGCGACCTAGGATGATAAAGTTCTTATAAAATGAATTTACTTACATAGAAAATGTTTATCTTGCTATGCTCCATATTATAATTTGCCTTATTGCTTTAATTTCCTTTATGCATGTTCTCTGAATCTTGTAATTGTATTGGTAGAAGCGTATGCGTGCGGGGCTGATAGTATTTTTCTGAGCGAAACTATGTATCTATGTGGATGCAAGCAACAATTGTATTTGTTCACCTTATGCTTTTTTGATAACTTGCCAGTTTCCATGAGATGTATTCACCCTATTGCGTCTAAGGTGATGAAGGACTGGTATTAGAAGTTTCCCACAATGATATGAGCTGAGCTTACGTTTCCATTGAATTTCGCATAGCCTTGCTTTCCCAAAAGTTGTTCTCATCCAGGGTGGACTGGAGTTTCGACCTAGCATCGGTCATATCAACACCTTCAGCAGGAGTCGAACCGCGACAGTGCAGGATGGGAGCTCTACAGGCTAACCACTCGGCTACACTGCCACGAGTACCCTTGAGTCACAGGGCATAAGTGAATTTCAAGGAA